CCCCTCAAATTATATGCACATTTTCCAGGAGAAAAACAGAGTTCCGGGGAGTAAAGGGAGACAGCGTGATCTTCCCTTAGTGAAAAAAGCTATCGTGAGAAGAATGAGGAGGAAAAGAGAAATAAGGTATGCAAGGAATGGAGAGACTCCAATTATCAAGAAGTATCTATTTGTAGATTACAATACAAAACATTCCTAAAGGTGCCTTTGTTGACATTTTAAAGAGTGAAGTTCCTCTTAAAAGTACAGTAAACAACCTTTTTAACTGAAGGCTTTGCTGAGAAAGCAGTTTTTAACCTGCTGTAGTGGATATTTTTCAGGCACATACTTTTCATATGTTGCTGTAACAAAGAAGGCATAGATTCGGGTGTGTCGGTGATGACGGATCTGCATTATTAGCTCAGGAATTCCCAGTCGCACATGGTTCAGCAGCCAGAGCAGTGTGTGATCATCTGTCGTGTCTGAAAGTACATGAAAAGTAACCAGCAGAATCAAATCATGACTTCATGGAAAATATCCTAATGGTAAAAAGTTGGCACATGTAATGTTGTAAAAATGCTTTTGAACATACCTGCAAATGTCATGACCACATCGCAGTTTTCAGTAGGCACGGTTTTCATCCAGGATTTATGTGATGTGATGTACCTGCCAGCTTGGAGGAGGCGCTTTCCAAAAAGCTTATCTATTGAAACAAAGCAAACTGTCAAAATTATAATAATAATAATAATAATATTTATGGTTGAACTATGCTTTTAATCAACTCACTAGATTCGAGCAGAAAGAAGCCCCAGATCACCTGTTTCCTTAGAAGATGGTGCAAACTTTTTAGCAACAGAAAAAGTAGTGTATTACCGATTCAATGTTCTCAGTCCGCGAGAACATCAGCAGCAAACTTAATATACTGAACACTTCACTAAACAGAATTTCAAGTATGGCACACTAATGTACATGGCAATTAAATAGCCTTTTAGGTACCTCTTTGACATTCATTTGCATTTCAGGCAATCTGTCATTAGAACTCAAATTAGTCTGTGTTGCTAATTGATGCTGTTCTCATCTGCAGACTTACTATTAATATGCAATTTATCGGTATATTATGTATTTCATGTACTAATGGAAAGAGTTTTCAAATGTGCCCTAAGTTCTTACACATGTAATTGTAAATGTTACACAAACCTAATAAAAAAGTGTTAGTCAATTAAAGGATTCTATTTCAGTTTCCATAGAAAAGGAGAGAGAAACCTTTTAAATATTTTTTTTTGTAGGAGGGCATTGCACCAAAATTCCTGGCAGCCTGACATTGTAGAGTTTATTTCAGAGGAGATTCACCTTACTCCACAGCTGTAAACCAGTGTTCTCCAACCCCTGGTCCGATACAATCAACGTCCCCCCCTCAGCGGGCCACGGTAAAATTATCAAACGTTGACCGGTCCGCGGCGATAAAAAGGTTGGGGAGCACTGCTGTAAACCACAAGGAAAGGCTGTGGGGCAAATGACGAGTCCGCAAATGAAACCCTTCAAAAATCATAAAAAATTGCAACTATCAGGATTGAAATGTCTAGGTGGCCTAGGCTCCACCCCAGTCACAAAGTAAAGCGGTTCCACATATATTGGGTGAGTGTATCACTCAGCTGTAGAGCCTCCAATCATCTATATACAAACTAGTAGTCCCATCACTGGAGCCATTTTTTGAAATGTATTTTATTTTATTTTTTATCCGATTAACCGAACTCAATAATCGGCTAACTAATCGATTTTGAAAATAATCGTTAGCTGCAGCTCTACTAATTTGTATTGTAGATTATAGTCCATCACAGGAGTGAGCTTGGAGCCATGGCTACTTTACAGCATACACAGGGACCATGGGGAACAAAAGTAGTCACCCTCCAGAAGGAAGGACAGTGTCAGCACCAATTCAGAGATGATTTGAGGATCTGCAGCTGAGTGATACATTTTTATTAATAGTTAAGGTACTAGAATGCATTTTTAAGCTTTAATTCCTGAGTTCAATGTCACCTTAATGATTAACATGAACATAAAAAACTCCTCAGTTTAGTGCCACTTTAAATTCAGTCATACCATAGATAGAAGACGTACTTTAAAATAATTTTATTTTACATTGGTTTAATTCTGTTTTTTAATCCTTTGTGGCATCTTAAGCTTGTAAGGTGTTCAACTGACCACGTTAACAGACCAGTAGGGAAAGGTCTCACTGTTTATTGCACATTACCCTGTCCATTGACCCAAAATGTCCTTCTTGATGCATTAGAGGTACCAGAGACCATGGCGCCCAACGGGACTACAATGACCATTCATTGTACAATTTTCGTTTGGAAATCGTACATGAACAGTCCTCCCATCATACCATTCATATATAGATGCCGCAATGGGGAAAAAATAAATCTAATTGCCAGAAATTTTATGAAAACGTATTTTATATGCAATCTGTGAATTTAAAAGACAATACTACTTCTTTCATGTATTATTTGATTCACCCTATTATTGGAAACAGAAAAAAGCAGAGCAACAGGTTGCAATACAGCCGGAAAAGCATGCTATTTTTCTCCATGTACAGCAGAGGCAGAGCTACCTCTACCTCTGCTGTACATGTAGTATCAGTGTATGGTCCTACTGATATGTAGTATCAGTGTATGGTCCTACTGATACTACACATCAGTAGGACCATACACATACACACAATAGGTTAGACTTGATGGACATATGTCTTTATTCAACCTCAAATACTATGTAACTATGTAACCTCGACACTCCAGCTGTGGTAAAACTACAAATTCCATTATGCCTCTGCCTTGTGCCTGTGGCCGTCAAAGTCTTGCAATGCCTCATGATGTGCTGGGGTTGCCTACCCCTGATCTATAGTGTAACCAAATTGCACTTGCTCTAGAGCTAGTGGGGAAAAAACAGGAACAAAAAATGGAGTTGTTTCCTATAGTGACCAATCAGAGGGGACCGAGGACTCGGATGCGAAGAGGGGACCGAGGACTCGGATGCGAAGAGGGGACCGAGGACCCGGATGCGAAGAGGGGACCGAGGACCCGGATGCGAAGAGGGGACCGAGGACTCGGATGCGAAGAGGGGACCGAGGACTCGGATGCGAAGAGGGGACCGAGGACTCGGATGCGAAGAGGGGACCGAGGACTCAGATGCGAAGAGGGGACTGTGTTCTAAAGCATGTGAATAGCTTTAAAAGACATTTACATGCCACTGGGTGGTTGTTTTGTTAACTGTCTATATGCAATCCACATTCCAGCATATAAATATTTCATATTATTAAAAAAAGGCAGCTCAGCTTTTGCTTTCCCCTACAGGTCTCCAGTAGATAACACAAACTGATATCATAAAACCTGTAGGAAGAGCTGATGTCTGGACACTGCAAAGGTCATTGGAACCTGATCTTTTCACAGCGACCTACACCCGTTAAATATAGAGCAAGCCAATGACTACTCCAGCTACAGCTGAAGGGTTAATTTCAGCTCAGGTTGAAGTTGACTGGCAGCAAGTGTCATTTAGTACTACATATGAATTCTAACTATTATTCATAACCACTAAGTATTTTACTCTGCTCTCTTGTCTGCAAAATGACAAGTGACTGATACATGTTAACGGTCCTAGGCAAGAGGTCTCGTTAACTATGTGGCTAATTACTAAAGCATAGTACTCCTGTGACACATCTGTTTTGGGCATTTTACTTACTAAAATAAAAATAAAAAAGTACTTACTTTTAATATAGTAAACCAGGGTTCTGTAATGTACAGATGCTGACTTTAACTAACTAGTAGGCCCTTAGCCTTTGGACAATATTTGCATATTACAGACTTTTATATATAGGTTGTGAAAAATCAGTCTAGGTATGATTTTTATTTGTTACAATAAAAAGTTGTCTTTAAAAGAATGGCAGCCAACACATTTCAAGGGTTATACAAAAGCCCCCCTTCATCAGGGCTTTGGCCTTTTATGCCAGAAGTATGGATGGATAATTATTATCCTCAAATTATAGTTAATAGATGAAGCTTTAGCTTGCAGTGCTAGACCAGTGACCAATGCGTGCTGAAACTATCTATAAAATGTAACTCCAAAACAATAATAATCTGATAGCCGGAGATTCATCTCCCAATTCTGTTCAGCAAGGGCTGCCTTCCACACTGTTGACACTGATGAGGTGCATTGTGCCTGGTCGAATCTTCCTCTTTGAGACTGCCATGATTGAAAAGCCCTAGCATCTCACAACGTACTACCTCATTGTACCAATGGTCATCCTTTTTTCAAATTTGGTCATGTGTTAGGGCCCTTCTGAGTAGCCCTTTCATGGTCTCAGTTTATGTACTTTCACATATGCAAAAGCTATGGTTGGATCTGTTGGTGTTAGTGAAGCAGGGACAGGTTTCCTAATTTTCTGGCCACTGAGTATACATAGGGCTAAGCAGACTTCTGTAAAGGCAATGCACACATACAGTATTAATAAAAGAAAAAAAATGTGCATTTTTTAATCTTTTTGAATTGGCACCATTAAAACATTGCAACTGCGATTAGTGAATTGTGGCCCAGTTCTCGGGATCTTGCAGATTGACCTCCAGTCCATGTTTGTAATGAGTTTCATGAGAATACATTTCTGACGTCAGAAAAGTTACAAAATTTACTTAACATATTAATTAGATCACATACAGACTTTACTTGTTTTTCAAGTAACTCTTTGAAGGCCAACTTTATTCAACGCTAGCAATTTAAATTTGGGTGGGCTCAAGTATGCTGAATAATCTTTGCATCTCCAGACCATTACAAAACACTTTTCTCGGCCGTGAATCTGACAAGAATCTATAAAAGGAGTCTATCACCGTCATTAGGGTGGTAAAGGCTGTTGTAGTTGGGTGGAACTGGAAATTCTGGTTGCGATACCTTGCAACAGCATGTGATAACCTGTCAACAACTCAAAATTGAGATATCTGTTCCAGGAGTCACTGAGATTACTCATTTTATTGTGCATTACCAATCAACTACTTTAACCAGGCCTAAAATGACTCCTGGAAAAAGAAGTACAGAAAATCAAAGAGCATCTGTACTGATCTAAAAAAGCAAGTTGTCTTGCTTTCTCGTCTCTAAGGATCATTCACACATTTCCGCAACACATCAGCTCAAAGTGTGGCACATTCCAGTGCCATTCATTGTGAATAGCTCCTCAAAGCACTGTACATTAGAGTGCAATGCACAAACACAATGCAACTCACAATGCATTGCGATGCTAAAAGGAAAAAAAAGAAAAGAAGAGGTTCATGTGTGTTTTTTGATCTGTTGTGGTGCGTTGTCAGCCCATTCAGAATGAATAGGCTGCCCTAATGCAATGCAGGTTAATGTGCAAAGTAGTGAGAGTTAAATACACTGCAATTGATTTCTTAAGTATAAATCAGCCCCAATACTAACTCACCAACAATCAATATGCAGCACTGCATACAGCCCCCCTGTATTTAATGCTTTTTGTTTGTGTATACACACACCTTTTCAAGATGTCTTCAGATCAGTCATGTGACACTGCAGGGTTCTATGCTGTTGTGTTGTCCTGACTAATGCAGAGATGAAGAGCGGGGCATTGATATATTGACCTCATTGCTGCTCTTGGCATTAATACAGCGTTAATGCAAGGTGCAGCAGCGACACTCCCTAAGGGAC